TAGATTCAGAGAATTAGGTTTGGATATATCTTTTTGGGAGCCATCATTTGATTCACTACATATGACAGGTTAGTATGAAAAGGATAGATGATTCAAATAAATGGTGCTGGAACAACTGGTTATCTATGTGGAAAAAAATGAAATTGGATCCTATCTCATAGCATACTCAAAAGTCAATTTCAGAAGAATTAAAAACGTAAAGGGAAAAGAAGAAACTTATAAAAGTTTTAGACAACAATACAGGAAAATACCTTTTTGACCCAGGCTAGAGACAGATTCATTAAACAAGGCGCAGAAAGCACAAGCCATAAAGGATAAGATTAATAAATTTGACCACATGAAAAGACATTAAAGAGAAAGAAAAGTCAAGCCACAAACCAGAGAAGATACGGCCCAATTTGGAACCATCAAAGGATTGGTGTTCAGAATGTATAAAGAATTCTTACATTTCAATAAGAAAGAGACAAAACAATACAATAGAAAAATGGGCAAGAGACATAAATGGACTACTCACAAAAGAACAAATACAAATGGCATACAGACATGAAAAAATGTCGGAACTAATGAGTAATTTGGGAGATGCCATTTGAAATCATAATAAGATACCGCTTTACACCTCTCAGATTGATACGGAGTATGTGGTCCAGTAATGACGAGGATGGGGTACAGTGGAAGCTCTACTAATGGGAGGAGAAACTTTATTTACAGAAAGGTCAAAACCAGGCTAAACGAAACAGCGCCTTGTTTAGGAACGCACACAGAGTTGATAAAACTATAAGAAGAATGAGGAAAGGAGTAACCAAAATGTAGCTAGAGGAGTATGAGGCAAGAGGGGCACACATCAGGAAGACATTGGTCATGTTCTGCTTTCTTACCTTGATGATGGCTTCATGGGAGTTCCTGAGTATATATATATTCAAACAATCTTTTGTGTAGCTGATATATTTCATAGTTAAAGCAAAATAGAAATAATAGAGAGTTTCAGCTCTCACTACTCCAGGTAGGGTATGGCACATAAGGAAGTGGGGGTGGGAGCAGGGGGCGTGCCGTCAGCCTGTGGGCCCACCAGGAGAGCTGGGTCCTCCCATCCAATCAATAGTAGTAGTATTGTATGTGTGAGGGGGAGATTTTCCTGGGGTTCCAGCAGGTGTAACCGATGAGCAGGTGCATGCTATGAATGTGTTCTTACATCAAGTCATCTCAGAGAGGTGGCTAGAGGGACCTCTCCTTTATGGGACTGCCTGAGGGTGTTCCCTGTGGGAAGTGACCCATGAGCTGACTCTCGAAAGGTGACTAGAAGTAACCTGCTAGGGAAGAGGAAGAACAGCTAGGGCAGCTGACATGCCCGGGGTGGAGAGGTGCTCCACCAAGGGCGTGTCTGTCTGGGGACACCTGAAGAGTCCACTGGGCACCTATCACAACACAGGGTGTGTGTGCATCACACGGGGTGTTCCTGGCGGTGGTCTGGAGCAGAGGGGAGGGGAGGGCACTGGACCTGACCATGCGGGCTGCTGGGCACCGAGAGCTTGAGAGCTTGACAGAGGCTGGGGGAGCAGCCAAGGGCAAAGGCTGAAGGTACAGTCACATGAGCCAGGCCGGTGATCAGGCGGCCCTGGCCTCAGTATTCAGGTGAGAATTGAGGCAACAGTTGGCCTGAGGGACAGGGGAGTGGGCGTTGTTCTGGGAGACCTGTCCATGAGGCCATGATCGCAGCCACTGGACTTGGGGCCTGGACAAGGCACCCATGCTGGAGAAGGGATGGGACAGAGTAGGGTCACTGGGAGCCGTGTAGGAGAGGGACCAAGGTAGGATTCCTGTCCTATATGTTGGGTCAACAAAAGGGGCCAGGGAAGAACTGTACCTGGACTCAGACCTTGGGATCCTGGATTCCAGAACTGCCTGGGTGGCTCTTAAAGATCTCAGTTCAAATGTGACCCCCCAAGGGGCCTTCTTTGGCCACACTGTGTAAAGTAGTCCCCTCACCCCCATCCTCTCACTCTCTAGCCATGTACTGCTTCCCTTATAGTACTCATTACTGCCTGGAACTGTCTTATTTGTACATTTGTTCATTGTCTATCTCGCCTAGTCCCCCAAACCAAACTCATTGCTGTCGAGTCAATTCCAACTCATAGCGACCTATTAGGATGTAAACCCCAGGACAGCAGAGCCCTGGACTCTCTTGGCCTTCTGTGTGCAGCCGGGCACCAGGCCTGGCATGTGGGAGACACTCGTGTGTGTTGAGTGACTCAGTGGCAGCAGGAAGGCTCAGGAGCCACATGGAGTCCAGAGCCTAGGTGGAGTCAGAAGCACAAGTGGGCTTTAGGGTGCTGTTATTGTTCCTGCCTCAGGGAGTTGTTGTTCAGAGAATGGGGTGGGCCTGGGCCAGCAGGGTGATGGCAGACATCGGGGTGTCCCAGAGGTGGAGCTGGCATGGCTGAGGTTAATGCTGACAGCTGGGGTATCAGGCCACTGAAGTGGGGTGGGAATGACAGAGATGAGGCCAGGGGAAGAGACTGGGGTGTGATAAAGGGTTTTGACATTGTGCCGGCAGGCAGGGACCTTATTCTGTGGGCAGACAAAGCGGTTGGAAGCCCTGAAGCAAGGGAAGTGCTGAGATTCCACCCCTAATTTAGGGAGATTCATGTGTTCGCAGTGTGGAGGCCAGACTGGAGGAGGGACGGGCAGAGGCCCAGAAGCCATCAGAAGACTGGTCCAGGTGAGGGGACCAGTGAAGCAGGGACCAGAGTTTGGAGAGGAGCAGAGGTGTTAAGACCTGAGGGGGCCAGAAAGCTGCCGTGGGCAGCACTTTCCTGAGGAGAAAAGTAGCACAGGTGCTTGGGGGACTTTGGCTATTTGGACACCACGTGAGTTTAAATTGACTTGACGGCAGCTGGTTTTTTGTTTTGTTTTTTCAAGATGGACTCATTCTGCTAAAATAAAAGTCAAGCTATTTGTGAAATACTTGAGTTATCCAGCTAATAATTTAAGCTCACAGAAGGTAGAGAAAGCACTGAGAAGGGAAGGGGGAGGGAAAGAGCGAGTGTTTACTACGACTTAGACAAGAGCCTACTGTGAATGGTTTTACACTCACTACCCCATACCCCACTGCCCTCAAGTCGATTCTGACTTGTAGTGCTCCTATAGGACAGGGTGGAACTGCCCCATAGGGTTTCCAAGTAGAGGCTGGTGGATTCGAACTGCCGATTTTTTGGGTAGCAGCTGAACTCTTAACCACTGTGTCACCAGGGCTCCTCATACTCACTACTTCACTTAATCCTCACAGTTGCCCCGAGAGGGAGGGGCTAGGCCTATCTGACAGGTAAGGAGACCAAGGTTCTGTTTCTTTGCCTGAAGTCACACAGCGAGTATGTGGTGGGACCAGAAGTCAACCCGGTGCCTGTCTGGGGCTCAGGCGCTCCCTCATTTGGAAACTGCCACCCAGACTCAATTCTGAACAAGGAGCTCTTCTCGGACGTGGTAGATCTGCTTCCAGGTTGAGACCTCAGAGGAAGGGAAAGTGGTGCTCTGGACTGAAGAAAGGCAGATTTTACAAGGCCCAAGAGAGGCAGGGTATAGAAGGGGGAAGGCATTGTTAGAGGGATCTGGTGCTGGCTGTACTCACGTGAAGGGCCATGTCACCACCCTCGCTCCCCACCTGTCCCCATCCTCAGGCTTGGGGTGGGTGATGACAGGCTGGACCATTAGGTTATGTGCAGATTTTCTTAAAATAGAATGACCAAGATGCAAACCAAAGCTGCTAGGAATATTTCCATTGCTCTTTGTTGATCCAGGACCCTGTTGTATAAATGCTCATCAGCTTCCAATGTCCCTGACATAAGACTCTGGCCCATCTTGGCCCATTTAGGTGTTGGTTCTGGACTCAGAGTGAACTGGGTTAGAATCAGTCTTCAGTTTAAATACCTGTAAATGAGGATAATTGCTCCTGCCTTATTTGGCTACAGTAAGCAATAGGTGTAATAAGGCATTTTTGAAGGGGCTAGTACGGAATTTGGGGCCCTGGTGGCCCAGTGGTTAAGAACTCGTCAGCTAACCAAATGGTCGGCAGTTTGAATCCACCAACCTCTCCTTGGAAACTCCATGGGGCAGAGTTACTCTGTCCTATAGGGTCACTATGAGTTGGAATCCACTCGACGGCAATGGGTTTGTTTTTTTTTTGGTTAGTACAGAATTTAGGTCAAAGATCCCTGGGTGGTGCAAACAATTCACATGCTTGGCTAAAAATTTGGAAGTTCCAGTCCACCCGGAGGCACCTCGAAGGAAAGTCCTGGTGATCTATTTCAGAGAAATCAGCCATTGAGAACCCTGTGGAGCACAGTTCTACCCTTACGCACGTAGGGTCACCATGATTCAGAGTTGACTCGAAGGCAATTGTTTTTTTAAGTGCTCATACTTCCCAACCAAACCCATTGCCGTCAAGTGGATTCCGATTCCGACTCATAGGGACCCTATAGGACGGAGTAGAACTACTCCGTAGGGTTTCCAAGGAGCGGCTAGTGGATTTAAACTGCTGACCTTTTGATTAGCAGCCAAACGCTGAACCACTGGCGCCACCAGTGCTCCAAGTGCTCGTACCAGGAATCTGTATTTTCATTTTAATGCTGAGATTAATGCAAGCTGAGCCCTTAGGGCAGGGAAAAGCTCATCTCTGCTGCCGTCTAGTGTGCGTGTTGGGAATAACACCTGCAGAGAAGTCAGCAGGACAAGTTCTTCCTTCAAAGGCTTCTGAGACAATGAAAAATGTGTCTAACAACAGGGCCATGCCCTGGATGCAGTCACATGTGCCCTGGGAGCTGCCTACTGGGCTGTGGACTCCTTGAGGCGTTACCTGGCCTGGGCCTTGCGCATGCCACCTGCTCACCTAGCTCTGACCTGTGTGTGCTTTGAATCCACCCTCCCCTCCTGGTTCCCCACCTTCCCCAGAGCAGTTTTTGAGCCAGTAGTGTTCTTAGAGAGCCTCTGGAAGTCACCACACCTGGGGGAGGGGTGCAAACCAAGAGGTTTATTTTGCAAGTGAGAGAGGCAGCCCAGGAGACCCAGAAAAGAGGAACCCAAGGCTGAGCACAAAGCCTGGTTGGGAAGACCACAGAGAGGCCTGCAGGAGTTAGATAACAGCTCCCAGGGAAAGCTGGGGAGACAGACTGTGGAGGGGTCCTGGGGGCTGGGACTGAAGGGGTCTGGGACTCAATTCCAGGTACAGCATTGGCAGGAGGTGTTGAACACCAGGCCTGCTGGGCAGCTCCGCAGGAACAGCCTTCCCCACTCACAGATGTAGTAGCTGGACTGCTTCTGAGGGATGGGGTAGAGGCCATCAGCTTTGCCCTGTCAGAAGGTGTCTTCTCCAGGGCTGTGCCCCCTCTCAGTTTCAGAGGGCTTGTCTGCTGTGAGAACTTCAGGCTCTCTGGTACCTGACAGCACATATGGGAGGCCTGTGAAGACAGTGAAGAGTCAACCAAGGGTCCCCAAGAGAACCCAAATGCACAGGCAGCAACCACGGGCAGGTGGCAGCCCCACACCTCACACCCTGCAGGCAGAGAGCCCAGGCAGCCCAGGCAGAGAACGGCCTGACGAGAGCCACGACTACAGCTGGAGCACAGCTCAGCAGAAAACACCTGGGCTGCTCATGTAATGGAGTCCCTGGGTAGTGTAAATCGTTAAGTACTCAGCTGCTGTCCCAAAGGTTGGAAGTTCGAGTCCACCCAGAGGCACCTTGAAGAAAGGCCTGGGGGTCTACTTCTGAAAAATTAGCCATTGAAAAACCTGTGGAGCACAGTTCTATTCTGACACACACGAGGTCACCATGAATTGGAATCAACTCAACGGCAGCTGGTTTGGTACTCATGTAATGGGCAGAGAAGAGTCAATCAATAGCCATATGCCATAGCAAAGCCCAGCCATATACTAGCAGGGGACGTGGGAACCCCACACGTAAGCCCAGTCAGCCTTTCTCCCTGAAGAGAGGAGCAGCTGCTACTCCTGGGCTGAGGGCCCTCTGAGGAAGCCCTGGTTACAACATCCTGGGCAGGCATTGCTGCAGCCGGCAAGAGGGAAGAGGAGGGTGAGAAAATATTTCAACAGTTTCCTCAGCTCCTGGGTTTGGATGAAATTTGGGAAATCTCAGTACTGAGGCAAAGTCAGTTCCTCAGAAGGACCCAGGACCCGCGGTTTAGGGACGAGGCTTTATACCCCATCCCGGACTTCTGCCTCTGCCTCTGGGCCCCTCACTTACTCAGCTTCTGCCTCAGCGTCCGGATGAGTGGGTGTCTGCCCTGGTTGCAGAAGGAGCCTGTGAAGTCGTCCAAGTCCAGTGTCCAGACCATGGCCCCGCCCAGGCCTTTCTGCTTCAGATAGCTGACCTGTTGTGGGTGGGGTAGGGGTAGAGGAAAACCAGTAAGTCCAGCCAGCCCAGCCCAGCGTCCTGCTTCCTCATCAGGATGGGAGGCTTTTTTCTGCAGCAACCCCAGGCCCATGAGTGGTTGGGGCTTCTGGAGACAGACCTGGGCTGGGAGTCTGGATGGCTGAGTCTTTGATCCCTGTGGGTACCAGTCACTTGAGAATCCCCCTTGTCCTGGCACAAGCCTGGGGTAGGGGTGAGGGTGAGGGTGAAGGTGGAGGGGTGGGGAATGGATGGGTGTGTGGATCTCCCTAGGCTGGAAACCTTAACATCTCTGCCTTTTCTGGGCTGAGCTGCTATGTTTGGAGTTCTGTCTGCTGGTTATGTTGAGTTCAGTTACCACAGGGAATGACCACGCTTCCCAAAATATCTGAATCAAGTTTTGCTTCCCTGTCTTCATGTCTTCAGTCTCCACAAGGGCCTTCTCTGCTCCACCAGAGGAGAGGTTTCCTGAGGGTATGACTGTCTGTCCCCTCAGATTGGGTTTCTCTGTTCCCTGACCTGGCCAGGGGGCTATGGTACTCCCACCAGGATTGTATGGGGGCTGGAGGGTAGGAATGGTCTAGAACCCGTGCCCCCAATCTCCATCTCCTGATACCTCCCCTTCTATACCTGCCCTCCTTCAGAGTTCTAGCTACACCGGCTATACCTTGTCCTCAGGGTCCGTCTGCTATTTTCGTCTCTGCTTGTCTTTGCTTGTAGTTTCCTCCCCAGAATGTCCTACCCCTACCCGCCTTCTGTGCTTTAAGACTCATCTCAAACACCTTTCCATCATGGCTCCTTCCCCATCTCCCCCATCAGGCTCCTCCTCTGCTCTCCCAGAGCACTTTGTCTGCACTTCTAGAAGAACCTACCACTGTCTGCCCTATATGATAATCAGTGTGGGGAATACTGCTAAACAAATGCAGCAACTCTCTTCAGAAGCTAATGATCTCATCGGGGACAAAGACATGGCGCCCAATAAATGTGCTGAAGCCACTGATGTTGGGCGGAGGAGGGGAGCATGTAAGTGAATCAAGAGGTCTATCATTTGGACACGCACCAAATGTTGCCAGTGGGCGGAATAAAATGATGTGTCTCCCATACATATTTCTCCTATTCATATGTCTGTAAAATCTGTTGTATTTAATGAAATACAAATGCTTTCCAAAGCGTTACTGAATATAGAACAATTTTTGTCATTAACGTCCTTCCTGAATTGATAGATGGCAAAGCTACAAACACTATCATATGGGGATCTGAATATTAGGGTATTTAGAATGAGGCTTATCCTTGAAAAGGTTCTGAATGCTGTCATTTGTTGTTATTGACATGCCTTGGGCCCACCTGGGACCACCGCCTTCCCAGCAGGGCTGGGCCTCACCTTAGTTTTGAAGCTCTCCACATCATCGAAACCCACCCACTGGTTGCCCTGGAAGGCGTAGGGCACCTTCTGGTCCTGGATCCTGACCTTGGTGGCACCCTTCCAGGAGCAGACCTGCAGGAGCAGAGGGTGAGTGCTGGGGAGGAGGAGGGAGGCACCTGGCCAGGAGGAGACCAGGAACTGGAAAACTGTCTGAGGGAGCCTGGAGAACCTAGGAGATTCTAGATGGAGTGTCCTAGACCCTGGGTCCATCTTGAAGCATCTGGGCTTAAGGAGAAATCCAAGATGACAGGGATGGCATGGAATTCACCATCTCTGGCATCTCTACTCAGAAATGGTGGGAGAAGGAGCCCTCGCCCCTCCAGGCAGCCCCTGACCCCCACAGTACTCAGGGTGGCTGGGGGTTTTCCTACCTCATAGTAAGCCAGCACCCCTCCCTCCTTGGTGAAGGGGCCGGGGGTCCCAGGCCCTGTGGCTGGGGCCCCCACTCCAGTGTCTGATGAGGAGGCCAGGGTAAAGGTCCGTCCGTAGGTGGGCATGCCAAGGATCAGTTTGTTGGCAGGGGCCCCTCTCTGCAGCCAGTATCGCACGGCAAAGTCCTGGTGGTGGAGAAGGAGGGACAGGGTTAATTTTCTCTGGCGTCAGGTCTGATTCTGGCTGCCAAGACTGAGGGCTCCAGAGGCGGAGCTAGAAGGGTCGGGAGTCCTTAGACAGAGCTTCAAGGATCTTCACTGATGTTCCAACCCTTCGTCATCTCCTTTAGATCCTCAGACCCTCTACCCTAGTGAGAGAAGCCACGTGGCACTATAGCCAAGAGCACGGGCTTTGGAGTCAGACAGCCCTTCACTGAACAAATATTTAGTGATGGACTACTGTGTGCCAGGCACTGTCCTGGATGCTTGGGGTGCATCAGTGAACAAAGCAGACAGGGATCCCTGCCCACAGAGGGCTCACTCAGCTACTTATATAACCTTGTTGAGCCTCAAGTGTCCTGTCTATACAATGGAAATAAAAGTAGAGTAGATTCTTATTATTTGCAATACTCATGTTCTATAAAGTTGCCACAAACACTGAGTTAGCAAACCCTGAACCATTGCTCCTAGGGGAAATGCAGGATTCTGTATGAGTCAATGAGGTAATTAATGAGCACCTGACTCACCAGCCCAGAGAGGTGCGTTTTATTCGTGAGAGTGCCACAGAAGTCAAAGATGTCCCACCCTAGCTAACACACAGAGATATAGGCCCCCAAAATTAAAAAGCACCTTAATTTAGGGCTTTTTGTGGTGGTGGTGGTGGTTGGTTGTTTTAAGAAAGAGAAAGAATATGGTCATTTCTGACTTAAAAACAAACACAAGAAAAAAAAGAAAAACAGTTGCTGCGGAGCTGATTCTGACTCACGGTGACCCCATGTGTTACACAGTAAAACTGCTCCATGAGGTTTTCTTGGCTGTAACCTTTATGGAAGCAGATCTCCAGGTCTTTCTTCTGTGGCATCGCTGGGCCGATTCAAATTGCCAACCTTTAGGTGGAGCGCAAACCCTTTGTGCCACCCTGAGACGTCAGCTCAGCCCGGTCTAAAATGAAGCCAGCCATTTTCTGGGTCTTGCAGGGGGTAGTATTGCCCTCAGTGACATCCCCTGAGTTGTTACCAACTTCATAAAGCTTCCACTCCCAGGAAGCACCTTCCAGAAGGTCTCCCAGCAGCCAGGTAGCAAAAGTATGCCCACTGTGTTGACGAAAACGTGGTGGGGGTGGGGGAGAGGGAAAGAAGTGGGAGTCATTTTGGCTGGAAGCTCAAGCTCAAAGAGGGCTCCCAACGAGACATTGTTTGGTGCCATTAAATTGGTTTATTGTGTCTAATTCAGCGTCACTATGAGTCAGAGTCAACTCGGCGGCAATGGGTTTGGTTTTTCGGCTTTAATATCAGCCAAGACGCTACACAGAAGTGAGGTTTCCCCTCAGCAGTGGCCCGGAGCAGAAAAAGAAAACAAGCCAGCAAAGAAACAAAAATCGTCGGGTTTCCTGGTGCCTTGCTTGGTTTCCCTGAGTTCTGTTCCGTGAGAGCCTCTAGGCTCGGAAGGGCCACCCGACAGAGCCTGATGGATGGGGTCCCTGCCTCACGGCTCTCACCACTTACCACATTGACCTCAGCCGCAGCACTGCTCTCTCCTTGCCTCTTGTAGAGAGGGCTGTTGTGTCCTGTGATCTTCTCCCATGTGCCGTGGAAGTCGTAGGCCATGAGGTTGATGAAATCCAGGTTCCTGCAGGAGGCATGGAAAGATGGGGTGAGGAACTCCACTTTCAAGGCCAGGAGAACAGGGGAGGCCCTGCTTCACCCTAACACCCACACACAGTGGCTTTGTGGAAGGCGACACGGACACCATTCCCCAGCCCCCCATTATCAAGGCCACTGTCATTCAAACCGTGAGGTTGGCAGCTCCTGTCTTTTGCACCCTTCCCCACTGTGCCCTCAGCTCCTCAGGCCCCATCCCACTCAGGAACCCTGGTGTTATTTTGGTACTGTGGAAGGAAACCTAGTTCAGTGTTTCTCAGACTTCAGTGTGCACACAGACTACCTGGGAATCTCATTAAAATGTAGGTACTGATCCACGAGGCCTGGGGTGGGGCCTAAGAGTCTGCATTTCCAACCGGCTCCCAGGTGGTGTGGGTGCAGGGGTCCCCAAACCACCCTTTGAGAAGCAAGGATCTGGATGGCTTATTCCCTTGGAGATGCTAGGGGCTTCACTCCTTCCCCTCTCGGGGTGTTTTCATTTGAAGAGTGATTTCCCAAGGAAGGATCCCAAAGATCCCAGAGAAGGAATCTGGAATGTGGCATCACAGACACAGTGAGCTTTCCTGGATTTGCTGCTGGAGGGTGGGGCTTTCCCAAAGTGCTACCTTGCAGGTAGCCACCTGCTCCATTCCCAGGAAGCCCAGACAACATCTGCTGAGACTCACTGAGCAATTTTGTCCACCTCGTATCCAGCGTCCACGTAGACTCGCGCTGACGGGACAGCTGCACTCAGGAGGAGGCGCTCCTTCCCTGAGCTCTGGGCTTCCTGCCTGAAGGTGTCACCCAGCTCCTGCAGGGCAGATCAGAGTGAACACAGACACAGGGACCAGGACCCCATGAGCCCAGGTAGATGCTCACTCTCAAGAGTCAGCAAACTGATCACAGGCTGGCCTGTGCTACACACATACATGTAGCCGCTGACCCTGTGGGCAGACCAATGTCCACGCATCATGTGGGGCTGTAGTTCTGACCCCCTGGCAGACTGGGCAGCCCCTTCGCCACCCAGCCATACCTGCACCAGTGCTGTGAAGCGCTGCTTGTCCGAGGCGGGGCTTCCCCTGCTTCCTGGGTACTCCCAGTCGAGGTCAAGGCCATCAAAGTCGTATTTACGCAGAAACTTGATGGCTGAGTTGATAAAGGTCCGACGGTTGTTGGCTGTGGCCACCATACTTGTGAACCTGTGGGTGATGAAGGGGCACATGGGCCCGCCTTGGGCAGACTGGGGACCACCCACTCCCTCAGAGACAAGTTAGAAAGGACTCAGGATAGGGGTGCTGGTGTCTAGGGCAGGAGGGCTGCTTCACAGACTGCTGGGATGCTTGCTGGTGAGTCTGGGGTCTGGCTAAGGAAAAGGGACAATTTAGAAGTTCTTCCTGCTCCTGAACATTGACATCATGAGGAACACCAGACTCACTAGTAGTTTTGCTTCCCAAATTCCCCCAGAGGCCTACTACCACGCCCCTGCTCAGGGAGCTGCCCTCCCTGAATCAGAGCTAACTGTCACCCTGGCATGAAGGTTTGGAAAAGAAAAGAAGTTTCAAAGAGGAAGAGAGAAGCACAGCAAAGTCAGTAGAGAGCAGGATGCGCGGGGAGCCTGCTGGTCTACTTCCCCGGCACCTTAACCATCCTTCTAACTGATTTTCTAGCACGCTTTGTGCTGCTGCCATGGCTAGACGAGAGCACTTCCAAATCCCCAAGCGCCCACGTCTCCTTCTCAGTGTCCCTACAACCCTGGCCATCCTGGGGTCTCAAGCTTTTTATAGACTCACTCTGTCGCAATTTGCATAGCAGCTGGAGTCTGTGGGCCTGGGGACCCCAAGCTAAAAACCCCTACATTTCACTGAAAAAACTCTGCAGATAAACATCATTTTAGGAGATGAATCATCGGACTCTCTTATTTTAGGAGCTTTCATCAGACCCTCAAAAGCACATGATCCAAAAAAGTTTTAGAAAGACTGATTTAGAGCTTTGAGAACCATATATTCTGGATTTTCTAGGAAAATTCTAGTTTCAAATATGCTTTTTCGTTATCTTCATAAACCGTCAGAATGTCCCAGAAATGCCAGTATTTTGGCATCCAAACTCAATCGCACAGATTGCCTTTTATACCCAGAAGTGGAACAAAATTCTTTCTCAGACAAGACATTCTGTCTCAGCGCTCAGAAAATACAGACACTGTGCGTAGTTGGGATTAGTTGGGACTCCTTGCTCCTCTCCTTTGTTACCCCATTTCACGGAGGAAGAGACTGAGGCCTGGAAAGAGGTCAGAACTTTGTGCTGCACTTAGGTCTTGTGCCTCTGGGGAGACTGGATCCATTGCAGCCTGGAGCTAGCCCACCCCTTTGCCCTCCGGATGGGGCATCCGAGAACCCAGAGTCCAGGCTGCCTTCCTGCCCCGCCTCACCTGGGCCACACCCTAGCCTGGCCCCGGACTCTCTGACCACGGCTCTCTCACACCAGTGTGCCGGGTTCCCCCACACCTGGGCCATAGTCAACTCACTTCTGGGTGTCGAAGTTCCAGCCCCCGATGGCCAGCAGGGTCTTCAGCTTGGGGTTCCTGGGAGAAATGAGATGCACCAGAATTTACCCAGCGAGCTCCCAGGACTCACTGACTGGGAAAGCAAGGGGCCGACAGGTGCCTTGGCAGGGCCGATGGGGTAGGGGGGTGGGGGATGGAAGGTAGGCACAAATGCCTGTGAGCCCTGACAGAGCACTCTAGAGGAAGCTCTGGATGAGGAAAGAAAAAACATATTCCTGCCTTCAAAGACCTGACAGTCTGGCTGGGGAGACGCAGTGAGCACAAGTGCATACACAGGGAATTCAGGAAGAGAGAGATCAGGGCGCACAGTCAGAGAGGCTTTGTGAAGGTGGTGATAGGACTCGAGCCGAAGAAGAGGGAGATTTTAGGAGGAGGAAGGGCCTTGCCAGCAGAGGGAACAGTTTCATGATCCTGATCCCACTTAGACCTAAACTGGAAAGGTCCTTAAGAATCCCCTAATCTGTTAAGAGTGGTGGAATGATTTGGAACAGGATAGCTAGAATATTTGTACATCTTGAAGAATGTAATCAATGTTACAGAATTGTACTCAGTTATCATTGAGATCTCTTCGATATAAGGTCAGAGAGGGGATGCAGCTTGCCCAAAGCCACACAACGGGTCTGTGGTGGGACTGCTGGGCTGGAGAAGGTTTCTGGGTCTGAGAAGAGAGGCCCTTCCTCTCCCCCTCCCCGCCCCCCGCAGCAGCTCACATCTTCTTCAGGCCATTGAAGTCCTTGTAGAGAGTCTTGTCATTCCACCGGATGACACTGAGCTGGTGATTGTTGTCCATGCCGGCAAAGGCATAGATAAGGTGGGTGCACAGGTTGGGGTCCACGTCCTTGGGCAGGAAGCGAGCCACACCCTCTCTGTCCTGGGACCAGTTGGTGAAGTAGCAGACCAGTTTCGAAGCAGAGCCTGGCCAGTGGGGCAAAGAAGAAAAATGGCAGTCAGACGCCATCTGGGAAGCCGTGCATTTGGGTGTTGGGTGTTGAAGTAAGTCAAGGGATCTGACAGTTGGAAATGGGTTTTGGTTTTGTTTGGGCAGCACCTTGCAGTTCACAGTGCCTTTTCAGAGGCTGACCTTGTTATCCTCAGGACACCTGTGAGTGCGCAGGACCATCAAGGGAATCCTCATTTGATACAAAAGTAAACTGAGGCTCAGAGAGCTTGGGAGCTGTGCCTTCAGCTCTGCTACAAAGAAAGCAGAGGCTGAGGGACCAGGACCCCTCAACATCCTTGAAAGTCACTGGGCTCAGAGTCTGGTCCCCAGGCCAGGGTCTGGCAGGTAGGCCCCCCTAGTTAGACCCTCTCCTTCGGGCCCTGAAACCCCATAGAAGGCAGCCCCAGTATGCCCAAGCATATCATTTAAAGGGAATTAAGCATGGCACATTCTTACGCTTAAGGGAGGGAGACGCTTTGGAACCAAGACTCAAGACTCCGAAGGTTAATTAAAATGCAAATGAACCAAGCAGCAGAGAGGAGGCCCCAGCTGTAGGCTCCAGTTTATGTTTCTCAAGTCTTGCTTTAAAGCGGGTTTACGCGGACTTGTTAATTCCTTGTAGAGAATCTAAGTTTATTCATATCATTGCTAAGCTTCTAGTAAAAAAAACTTATTTTATTTAGGAAAGGCAGCTTGTCTCTGGCATCCCCTATAGTGTGAGAGAAGACTTTGCAGGGGGGAGGTTCTGCTCCCAGAAGGGGTTGCCCACGGATGGTCAGTGCTGTGCTAGCTCGACCAGGACACCAGAAAGCAAGAAAGATGGTCTTCGTCCCCACATCCGCCAGAAATGACTTTGGGCCCATCCCTTCTTTAGCCTTGGCCCCAGAGTCCCCATCTGAAAATGACCACGTGGTCTCTGAGGTCTCTTCCAGCCTCACATTCTATGATGCGTGGCTTGTACATCAGGGACTTGGCGGAATGGTCAGTTTGGACTGGAGTGTGTCTGTGGCAGGCGTCTGAACCCTGGGACTTCCCTCTGCTAGACTGGGGGGTGGTGGTGTGGGGGTCGGAAGGAGGGTGGGAGAGGGGTACAAAGTGCGTACAGGAGGGAGTGTAGGAAGACACAGCACCTGCCTCCACTGGAACCCAGGAGCAGGGAGGGCCGGGGATCCCCTGGGCACGTGGATTGTTCCTGGGCAGGAGTCGGGGCTCTTGGGCATGGCCTCAGCCCTAATCAGAGGCCACTCAGGAGTGGAGCCTGCTGGTGGGGGCTGGAGGTGCAGCCTGCTGTCATATATGTGATATAGATGGAGGCTTGGTGAACCCCCCAAGGCAAAAGAAGGAAGCAAGGGGTTAACCTAGAGAACACATCCCCAGGAGCATCTAGGGAGGAACCTGGAGGCTCTTTTTACATCATATTTTATCATATGAAATATCACATATAGGTTTTTGTATTATAGAGGCAATACAGTGTGGTGGTTAAGAACATGGACTCTGGAGTTTCAGTACTTGGGTTGAAATCCCAATTCTGACTCAGTTTCCTCCTCTGTAAAATGGGGCTGATCATTGTACCTACCTCATAGGGTTGTTGTGTGGACTGAGAATTAACGTATGTCTAACAGTTAGAGAGTGCCTGGCATAGAGTAAACTCTGTTCTAAGTGCTTTACACATACTGACTCTTCGTCCACATGAAATTCTATTATCGTTACTATACTCCAATAAAGCCCAGGGCTAGCTTGAACTAAAGCTCTTTCAGAAACCATCTACCTCTCTCTCTTCCCCGTGTTTGTTACTTCTGTGGCCCCCAGGCTGTCCCCTCCTGTGAGACCGAGAGGGGCAATGAGTATCCAATGCCTCAGGACGAGGGTCTAAAGGGCCAGCCTTCCTGGGGCCACTGACAAACAGGAAGCCTGTGGAACGGGAAGGGAGTGTGGGAGTCTGAGAGCTGATGACGCAGGAAGACAAGAAGGAGCCCCTCCTGCCTCTTCCAAGGTCCACACCCCATCAGTGCAGCAGATACGGGGGCTAATGTGTTCTCCTTGCTGAGCTAAGGGGCTGGAGACTCAGAGCTAAATAAGACTTAGACTCTAACTCCGGGAGTACCTGGGTGGTGCAAATGGTTAACATGCTTGGCTGCTAACTGAAAGGTTGGAGGTTTGAGTACACCTAGAGGCGCCTCGAACGAAGACCTGTGATCTACTTCTGAAAAATCAGCCATTGAAAAACCTATGGAGCACTGTTCTACTCTAACACATGTGGGGTCATCACAAGTCGGAATCGACTCCACAGAAACTGGTCCTTACCTCCAGTAGCTCAGAGTCTGGTGGAGGAGAGACATAGAACAATAATTACGAACACTATTCTACATCCCACAAAATGTGCTTAAGTATGAAGAAAGCACAGAGATGGGAGCAAGTGACCTCCAGAAAGACCCAAGGGAGGCTGACATTTAAGCTGACCCCATGGGCGGGCAAAAGTTCAGCTAGTGTATAAGGAAGCAAGCACCTCTAAAAAGGCTGTTAGGGGGATGAGGACATGTGCAGGGGGCTGAGCTTTGGAGGAAAGTCCCCACTGACACCAGGCAGGAGCTCTCCGTGCGTGTGTGTGAGCACGTGTGTGTTCTCATGTGTGCGTGCACATGTGTGAGCACCCATGCACATGTGAACCCTGCAGTAGGGCTTGGGGTGTGTGTGTAGCAGAGCTCAGGAAAGGGGCTGGGAGAAATCAAGGGTTGGCTTCAAGAAAGTTGTCACTTACCCCATTGGATCATCAGCAGAACTATCAAACCTGAAGCAACACAAGAGAGAAAGCAGAGGGTTGAGATGTCATTCTCACTTTCCCAGGCCCCCTAAGCTTATTGAAATGCAGGGGGCTCAGGTGAACAGGGAGAGGTAGTTTCAGGGTAGTCTCATGCAAATATCCCCCTGACACATTCAGAAGGGACCTAGGCGGACAATGTGTCCACCCTTTACCCAGGCCAGACAGTGGGGCCCCTCCCTGGCGTGGACTGGCCCCTGAAGTTGGTGAACCCTCTCTAGAGGGTCAGTGGAGGGTAGTGTGGAATTAGGAAGATGTTGAGAAGAATTCTGACTTGTGACATGTTCAGAAAGAAAGCTTCCCTTCTGGAACAAGAAGAAAACTTGCCGTAGGGCTGGAAAGAACCAATCTGGAAGGGCTAGGCTGGGAGGCCACAGAGCGCCTCTGCTCCCCACTCTGCTTCCACCTGGTGCTTTCCCACCACACCCACAAGAAGCTGGCTGTGCTACCAGCATCCTTGGAGGCCCAGGACTCAAGGTTCCTGGAATGGAGACGGGGTAGGGCAAGGGGAAAAGAACAAAGCAGCACTGATTCTCTGAGGTCTGATGGGCAGGGCTGGCTGGAGGAGAGGGAGAAGGCTGGAGGAGAGGGAGAAGGCTGGTTGACCATGGAGGGTGGGGGCATGACCCAGGAGGTCAACACCAGGATTCCAAGCTCCTACTATGTGCTGCGTGCTTTATGTAGGTCATCTCATTTTGTGCCCCCAACGGCGTGCTGAGAGGAAGGCATCATTTTCGCTATTTCACAGTGTGGGAAGCCTGGAGTTCCGTGTTGTTTAGCTGCTTGCCCAAGGCTCCCAGGGATTACGTGGTGGAGCCAGGCTTAGAACCTGGTCTGTCTGACTCCAGAGGCAAGAGCTGGGCCTCCTGCCCCTCAGCATTTTGTAACCCTGTGATCTTTATGATCTTTGTTGTTGGAAGGAGTTAAGTTAAAGAACCCTAAAATCCTGGGGGCGATGAGACCGGACAGAGGGAGAGTCCGAGGGCCCCGGCCTGGACTGAGGACCTCTGGCTCAGGCTGGACCTCTGTGGGTGGGAGGTGCCTGGAGTGGAGCCAACGGGAGGATGGGAGCTCTAAGGTCCAGCAGAGGCTCTGATAATCCACCTCTCCCCCCATCCCTGTCACTTTGGGCTCAGTGGGCTTCCTTAAAAGAGATTCATAGCACCTTTCTGATGACCTGGGATGTTCCTGTTCCTAATAAAGCATGCAGGGAAATTTGGGAGGACCCCAGGGTGGATGGCTCCCAGGCTGCCCTCTTGCAGGATGACCCCCATGGCACTGGGGTTGGGGCAGAACCCTTGGTGGTGGACACTTTCTGAATAAGGCCAAAAGCAGGGACCTATGAACATAGGGAAAACAAAAACACCCCATGCGGGAGGGGCCACTGTCCCTGGGATTCCAGAACAGAAGGAAGAAAACTCATTTCGGCCCAAAAGCAGAAAGGTCCTGGTGGGTGGGGAGGAGTGAACTGAAGTTCTCCTGAGCCCTCTTGTTTACTCTACCTTCCAGGGGATGTCCCCATGCCCCCCTTCCCCGTGGCTCCCAAGGCCCAGCGTGCTGTCCCTTGCAGTGCCCACTCACCTGCCCAGGCCACGGGTCTCACCATGATGCTGTCTCAGCTGGAGACTCCCTCCAGGTGTGGCCAGCTCTTCAGGCCCTGCTTTTTTATGTGGCTACCCTGTCCAACCCCAGCTGGGAGTGTTGAAATCAGGAGGGCAGAAGGAGGAGAGAGGAAGAGACGGGGTGGCTTGGAGGCGGGCTGTTAAGTGGCATGGATTGGGCAAACCTGACACAATAGCCTTTAGTGATTCTTGCTTTTCTGGAACCATCACAGGGCATAAACCGGGCTTTTGGTGTTGCCAAACTGGGAGGGAGAGAGAGGAAAGCAGGACTTGTTTCTAAACCTGCTGGACAGCATGACTTGATCTTCTCTGTGTGGGCTGAGAAGGACCATGAGCAGCCCCAGACTTAACAAGGCTTTGGAGGAAGAGAAATGACTCAAGAGCCAGGGAAGCCAGGTTCCAGACCATTTCTCTTGCTTCTCCATGACCCTCTCTGGAACTCAGTTTCCCCATCCATCAGATTTTTGATGGATGATCTTATCCATGATGATGATGTTGGAAACAATATAGATTTCATGACCTCCATATGATAGTAATATTTTTAAGATCCATTGACTGAGAAAAATACATAATGATAAACAGTGACTGCGAGTTTAGTAATAGTTTTAAATGCCTGTGTTTCTTAGGAAGGGACCTAAGTGGGTACGTATTACTTATTCTGTCTGCAGACAATGTCTAGTGTGTGCACTAACTCCAGGGCCCGTGGAAAAACTCTGCAGCCTCTAAGGCATCTGGTCCTTGGCTTAAAATGAGTGGCCTGGATGGCTGAGAGGGACTCTCCAAAGGTGGCAGGAGAGGCACCCAGCTAGAGGTGGGGTGCAGGAAACCAGGAGCGGTGATGCTTGAGTGGAACTTTGAGAACAAGTGGTTGTTGCCAGGCAAAGAGAGAATGGGCTTATGACAAGCATGCTACATGGCCACTGATGGAGCACCCCAGCCAGGAAACCACCATCACACCTGCAGGGACAGTGAGGCGTAATTAAAAACCCTATCTCCCGTTGGTGAAGAACCATGAATTGAGGGCAGGCTGGGGTGGCCTTCAGCCAAGGGGTTTTGAGCAGGAGGGGGCTGGACATGGCTGGTGGGAGAGGAACGAAATCAATGCTTTGACGACCTAGACTCATAGCTATGTCTTATGCTAGGCAAGGCACATCCCAGGTTGACCTGAAAGCCAGGCCTGAATTGTAAGGTATCAAGGAATAGTAAGTCCCTCCCTGGGGGCTGAGGCCTGGGGAGCAGGAGGCAGGCCCATCTCCCTTAAAGCCAGCAAGGAACCTTCTCCAAGGACTGAACCCGAACGCTCAGCCTGAATTTCTAACCCAAGTGAGCCAGTCTCAGCCCTCAGGACAGGTCGCCCATGTATAGAGCTGGAAGATCATAATACTTCCAGCAAGCTCTGATCAACCTCCCCCGCACCCCATGTCTTTTCTCCTTAACCCTATCCCACCAGGGGCTGCCCTTCCTGCCCCCCAAATTTTATAGAAGCCTCTCCAATTCAAGCCTTGCCTCTCCCCAGTCACTCCAGTCCACAACATCTTCTGTGGTCTCTGAACAACTCCTTCAGTCCAGAGCAGGAAGGCCCCAGCTTGGAGTCAGACAGACCTGGTGTGCCTCAATGGGCACCCCAAGGAATGGCTCTGGGAAGCTTTATCCTTTCCCTTCCATCCTCATCACCTTCTCTCAGACCTCTTCCATCTACCCCCCAAACCCAAGTCGAAGTAAAACCAGCATGCTTGATATACAAATGACACTTCAAGACAAGTCCTCAGCCCACCCCCACCCCAGAGCAGACCCCTATATGGAAATTGTGGAGCCCCGTGGTTTGCATTCATCCTGGCTGGATCTTGGACTAGTCCTGACATCTTCAAGCCTTGATTTTTAGCATCTGTAAAATGGAGATAATAATACCCATCTTATTTGACTGTGGTGTGGATTAAATAGATGCGTGTTATTGTCGTTAGCTGATGTTGAGTGAGACCTTGACTCGTGGAGACCCCATGCACACCAGAATGAAATGCTGCCTGGTCCTGTGCCCTCCCCATAATCGGTTGTGGATTGCACCATTGTGATCCATAGGGTTTTCATTGGTGATTTTTCAGAAGTAGCTCACCAGACCTTTCTTCCTAGTCTGTCAGCCTGGAAGCTCTGCTGAAAACTGTTTAGTCAGTCATAGCACGACGGATGGGTGGTGGCTGCGCATGAGGTGCATTGGCCGGAAATCGAACCTGGGTCTCCCGCATGTGATTTAGGAAATAATATTGGAGTTATTATTCCCTCTTCTTGAGCATACAGAATGTGACCCAGTTGGAGCTGAGCTCACAGGGGCTCACAAGCACTCTCAAGGACACATCAACTGGGCCCTGAGGTATGGAGACAATAGCTAGGATAATCTGGGAAAGTATCTTTTAGGGAAACTTTTACAAAAATCCTATCAAACAGAACACAAAAGACTTTCCACTCTTATCTTTTTCTATTAGCATTTAGTGAATAGGAATTTGTTGGACCAGTGAGGATCCTCCTGATTCTCGTTGCTGAAACCAGTACCAGTGATTGTTAAGAAAGATGATTCAAAATGTAAGATTACAATTTCTAGCCTATCAGTGAAAAAGTGACGCTTTCAATGGTTCTGCCCATTTTGTGATGTTGATATATACTGATGATTCTGTAACCTTCCTTGGACTTGGGCAGACATGGCTGTGGCAGCATGCTTGTCCATTTTCCCATTCTTGCCTATTCTGTGATATTCTTTGGATTCAGGCAGACATTCTCGCTCTGGTAGCATGCTTGTCCGCTTCCCACTTTTGTCGTTTTGAATATATGCCAAATAAAACTCTTTTTACTTTACTAAACTTTGTGATGTTTTTCCCCTACAATACATGTAAGGTGAGAATTCTACCACTGACCCACCACTGCCCTCAAAGTGTGGAAGGGCTTTGTAAACGATGGGCCCCAGCCAGGTCTTATTATTGATACTGTGACCGTGATGGCTGTATCACACTGCTCTCCCTTGCTTCATGGCTACTGTCGTGGATTGAATTATGTGCCCCCAAAAACGTGCGTATCAGTTTGACTGGGCCATGATTCCCAGTACTGTGTGGTTGTCCTCTATTTTGTGATTGTAATTTTATGTTAAAGAGGATTAGGGTGTGTCTTAGTTATCTAGTGCTGCTGTAACAGAAATACCACAAGTGGATGATTTTAACAAAGAGAAGTTTATTTCCTTACAGTAAAGTAGGCTAGAAGTCCAAATTCAGGGCGTCAGCTCCAGGGAAAGTCTTTTTCTCTCTGTCTGTCTTCTTCTCTTCAGTGTTCCCCCGAACTAGGAGCTTCTCTGCGCAGGAACCCCGGTCCAAAGGACGTGCTCTGCTCCTGGAACTGCTTTGTTGATGGTATGAGGTCCCTGATTCTCTGCTTGCTTCCCTTTCCTTTTATCTCTTATAAGGTAAAAGGTGGTACAGGCCACACCCTAGGGAAACTCCCTTTACATTAGATCAGGGATGTGACCTGGGTAAGGGTGGTGTTACAATCCCACCCTAATCCTCTTTGACGTAAAATTACAATCACAAAATGGAGGCCAACCACACAATTCTGGGAATCATGGCCCAGACAAATTGATACACACATATTTTGGGGGACATAATTCAAACCATGAAAGGGTGTGATTGTATAACACCCTTACTAAGGTCACATCCCTGATCCAATGTAAAGGGAGTTTCCCTAGGGTGTTGCCTGCAACACCTTTTATCTTACAAGAGATAAAAGGAAAGAGAAGCAAGCAGAGAATTGGGGACTTCATACCACCGAGAAAGCAGTTCTGGGAGCAGAGCACATCTTTGGACCCGAGGTTCCTACGCAGAGAAGCTCCTAGTCTGGGGGAAGATTGATGAGGAGGAGGACCTTCCTCCAGAGCTGAGAGAGAGAAGGCCTTCCCCTTTAACTCACACCCTGAATTTGGACTTCTAGCCTATTGGACTGTGAGAAAATAAACTTCTCTTCGTTAAAGCCATCCACTGTGGTATTTCTGTTATAGCAGCACTAGATGACTAAGACAGCTACCCTGGATGGTCCCATAGACATGCTCCTCTACGTGTCCCTCTGTGCCGAGCACATGGTGAACTTTCAATTAAGGCCGGCTAACTACTTCTCCCCATGCCCCTGGCTGCCCCCTCCCCCAGTTCTTCCCCATCCCAGTTCCTCAAGTCACTTGGGAATCACCCTTGATTCTTCCCTCACAGGAACGCCCTCACAGGACCAGGCACGACCAGAAGTCCTCCTTCCTCTTCCACGTCCACCACCTCCTCCAAACCACCATCATCTCTTGCTGCATTCTCCTAACTGGCCTCTGCTACTGCTTCCCCCGCCTCTGTTGCCCCCTGCAACCCACTCTCCACACAACGGGTGGAGTGGTCTTTGAAAAGGTTAAATCAGATCCTCTTACTCTCCGGCTAAGACCCCTCAATGGCTTCCCACTACACTTAGAATAAAATACAAACTCCTTAACTTAGTCTCTTGAAAATTCCAAGTCTGGTCTTTCATAAAGGCCTTTGCACCTGCCATTGTCCTCACCTGGAAATTTCTTCCCTGTGATGGCCATGTGCTGGCTCCTTCTCCCCATTCAGGTTTTCATGACCACCCCATATAAAGTTGCTGCTTCCTTCAAGTCATTCTCTGTCCCATTCTGCTGATTCATTTTCTCCTAAGTACTTTTCATGGTCAAAATCAGTCAATCTATCCATCTATCTATCTATTGTTGTTTGCGGTTGTTATGGATTGAATTGTGTTACCCAAAAATGTGGGTCAATTTGGCTAGGCCATGATTCCCAGTATTGTGTGGTTGTCTTCCATTTTGTGATCTCATATAATTTTCGTATGTGTTGTAAATCCTAACCTCTGTGATGTTAGCGAGGCAGGATTAGAGGCAGTTATGTTAATAAGGCAGGATTCCAGCTACAAGATTAGGTTGTATCTTGAAGTCAGTCACTTTTGAGATATAAAAGAAAGAAATCGAACAGAGAAGGGAGGGACCTCATACCATCAAGCAAGAAGTGCTGGGAGTGGAGTGTGTCCTCTGGAGCCAGTGACCTTGTGCTTAGAAGCTCCGTGACCAGGGTAAGATTGATAACAAGGATCTTCCCCCAGAACCAACAGAGAAGGAAAGCCTTCGCCTGGAGGTGGCACCCTGAATTCGGACTTCTAGCCTCCTAAACTGTGAGAGAATAAATTTCTGTTTGTTAAAGCCATCCGT